AGCCCTCGCTCTAGTCTCCTGTGATGACAGAAATACCCAGTTACATCTCTCTTTTAAACGGTTCTCTCCCTCCTCTGTTTCAGTGCAGTACACATTATTGAACCCAGCATGATGTCTTTTGCCAAGGTCACGTCCCTCCTGGCAACATGCCTGAAGTCTGTGAGACTAAGTTTCACCACCCTTACTCTAAGGCGTAAACTCTAAGGCCTTTCCTCCAAGCCAGACTTGTTTATTCTTTTGGCAGTCCCTACGATATTCAATACTCTTCTCCAACACCACAGTTCATATTGTTGGTGGTTGTTACTGAGTATCACTGAGTTCAAAATGACTCTGAGCTGACTCTCCAGCGGGATTCCAGGGACAGTAAACTGCATGGGAAGAGATTACCCATCTTTCTCCTGCAGAGCAGCTGGTGGATTAGAACCACATACGTTGGGTTGGCAGCACATTTCCTTACCACTAAGCCACTAGAGCTTGAAAATTCAAATTAGGAGTGACAAATAAGAAGCCTAATAATGTTTAGTCTTAATATCTTCGTTTCAGAGTGACCCATACATTTTATTTAGAACCCTTGAATTATCTTTGTAGTTGCTTAAAGCCACTGAATTGATTCTTCCCAATACATGAACATTCTCAAAAGTAAAGTGGTTTGTAAGCCTTTTTCATATTCTGGACACTGATCCTAAGTTCTGGTGGTCTACTCTGTGAAGTTTATTGCAAACAGGAAGAGCATCTCTCTGGCATTCATATCCACCAGCCTGTGGAAGAAAGATGAGCAATATCAACAGCAACGAGTTTGAGAAAATCTTCTGTTAATTATATATTTTCTACACATGCATTCTCATGTAGCTTCTTTTTCCACAATCATTTCTAAATAAACAGATGTCTTCATTTTAATGTCCTTATATTTATCAAACTTTTTTTGGTTAATGCTTTATGTTTCAATTTACAAACAGAACCCTAGACAATAGTCATTAAAAGTATTATTCTATATATATTCTTTTTATTTGCTACATTTTGCCTTTTACTTAAAGGCAATTTAAAACTGAATTTTTGAAATTCAATCTCTGTGACTGAAACAAGTCAAGAATTACAAACTTCTATAAAACATGAGAGTTCATTTAGTTTTGGATAATATTCTGTGTATGCTATCTTGTTCATAATGGCCCACTGTAAATTATGCTATAGACCTCTCCTCCCAACTTTCCTTATCCATACAAGTCTACGTGGAGGCTCTCTATCCTAGTCCATCAGTTTGTTGATTGCATTCTCTAAATGGCTGTGGAATCATAATAAAATTTAGTATATCAGTATCAGGAGAAGCTTCAAATGATTCTTATTGAGGAATGCCTTGACTATTCATGGATCATAATTCCTCCATATATAATTTAGAATCAAATTTTTGTGGT